GAATTCATGATGACAAGTTATGGGAATGCAAATTATCCAGCAACCCTACCAATTCTGAAAGTTGACAACTATGAGAATTGGTGCAAACAGATGAAAGTCTTATTCAGGTGTCAAGGTCTTTGGGACATTGTAAAAGATGGAGTCGAAACGCTTGGAGAAAACGCTTCAGAAGAAGAAAAGAAGAAATACATAGAATCTGAGAAGCTGAGTTATAAAGCATTATTTATAATTCATCAATGTGTCAGCCCAGACAATTTCGAAAAGGTTAGTGATTCAGAATCTGCAAAAGAAGCTTGGGAAATCCTTGAGAAGTCTTTTGGAGATGCTGAGAAAGTGAAAGAAGTGAGGTTACAAACTCACAAAAGAACCTATGAACTACTTCAGATGGAAGACAGTGAAAGCATGTCTGATTTCTTCACTAGAGTTACAAAACTAGTAAATCAAATCAAGATATGTGGAGAAGCGTTAACAACAAGAGCTGTTGTGTCGAAGATCTTGAGATCTTTAGCTCCTAAGTTCGACCACATAGTGGTGGCGATAGAAGAGGGGAAAGACTTGTCGAAATTGACAAAGGAAGAGCTTCAAGGGACGCTTGAATCTCATGAACAAAGAATGAACGAAAGAGATGCAGGAAAATCAAAGAGTGATGTGGCTTTGCAGGCACATTCAGCAAAAGAGACCAAAGGAAAAGGAAAGTGTTTCGACAGAGGTAGAGGTGGCTATAACAAATTGAATGAAGGAAACGTGTTGAATCAAAGAAGACCATACCAAGGCAACCAAAGAGGTGGTGTTGCAAACAGAGGAAGAGGTGGTGGTCGAAAACCTGATAAGAGTCACATTCAATGTTACAATTGTCAGAAGTATGGTCACTATTCGAGTGATTGTGCAGAAAAACGAAAGAATCAAGAAAGTGATGTAAAGCTTGCAAAACATGAAGAAGAAAAAGAAGAAGAAGAGATGATGTTGATGGTTACAACAAGAGATGAAGATAGATTCAAGGACCAATGGTACTTGGATTCAGGATGTTCATCACATATGTCTGAAAGGAAAGACTGGTTCGTCAATATAAAGCCCTCAATGAAAAATATAGTAAGATTTGCAAATAACAATACCATAGCAGCTGAAGGTATTGGTGATGTTATGATTATGAGGAAAGATGGCAAAAGGTCAGTAATCTCCAATGTGTTGTACATACCAGGCATGAAGAACAATTTGCTCAGTATAGGGCAGTTGGTCGAAAAGAATTATAAAGTGTCAATTGAAGATAAGATGATGAGAGTCGTTGATGCAAATGAGAGATTAATCTTGAAGGCTCCTATGTCTCAGAATCGAACCTTCAAGATTGAACTAAATGTGATGGAGCACAAGTGCCTTTCGACTGCAGCTAGCAGAGATGAATGTATATGGCATTATAGGCTAGGCCATCTCAACTTCAGAGACATCAGAGATTTGAAGAGAAGAAATATGGTTTCAGGATTGCCAGAAATTGATATTCCAAACGAGGTATGTGAGGAATGTGTGCAGGCGAAGAAACACAAGAATAGCTTCAGCAAGGATGCAGGAAGCAGATCGAAGGCTAGTCTTGAAGTTATATACTCTGATGTATGTGGACCAATCCAGGTGGATTCGATGGGAGGTAACAAATACTTTGTTACATTCATAGATGATTTCAATCGAAAGCTATGGACTTACCTGATCAAGAAGAAAAGTGAAGTGATCGAAGTATTTACCAAGTTTAAGTCTATGGTCGAAAGACAAAGTGGTCGAAAGCTCAAAGTTTTGAGAACTGATGGTGGTGGAGAATATGTGTCGAAAGACTTCGACAGATTATGTAAAAAGGAAGGGATTATGCATGAGGTGGTGCCACCCTATACTCCATAACAAAATGGAACTACAGAAAGGAAGAATCGAACCATCATGAATATGGTGAGAAGTATGTTGAAAGGCAAGAATTTATCTAAAGAGTTTTGGGGTGAAGCTGTTTCGACTGCAACATACATTTTGAACAGATGTCCTACAAAGAAGCTAGAAGGAATTACTCCAGAAGAATGTTGGTCTGGTGTGAAGCCTAGCTTGAGTCATCTGAAGGTATTTGGATTTATTGCACATAGACATGTGCTAGATCAGTTGAGAAGAAAACTTGATGATAAGTCAAGTCAAATGATTCTAGTTGGATATCATTCGACAGGAGGCTACAAGTTGTTCGATCCAGTGAAAAAGAAGATTGTGATCAGTAGGGACGTGATCATAGACGAGTTTAAAGAATGGGATTGGACTGAAAATATCAAGAAAGATTCAGTGGGAATCCTTCTTGAAGAGCCAGAAACTCAAGTCGAAAGAGAATTTCGACAAGAGGAACCAGCAGATATACCAAGTACAAGCAGACCTCAAAGAACAATACGCATGCCTGCAAGATTGCAAGATTGTGTGATTACATCAGATGATGTAATAGATAATGAAGGTGAGCTGGTATATTATGCTTTCTATGCAAATGTCGAACATGTTAATGCAGCTGAAGCATTAAAGGATTCTAAGTGGATGAAAGCAATGAACGAAGAAGTAAAGTCTATCAAAGACAACAACACTTGGTCACTTGTCGAATTGCCTCAAGGCAAGAAGGCAATTGATGGCAAGTGGGTATACAAAGTGAAAACGAATTCGAAAGGTGAAGTAACTCGACACAAAGCAAGACTTGTGGCGAAAGAATTTCTACAGAAAGAAGGAATAGACTTCGATGAAGTTTTTGCACCTGTTGCTAGGATCGAAACAATCAGGTTGGTTGCTGGTCTAGCAGAAATAAACAGTTGGCACATATGTCAGATGGACGTGAAGTGTGCATTCCTAAATGGACCCTTAGATGAAGAAGTCTATGTTAAACAACCAGTTGGATTTGTGAAACATGACGAAGAAAGAAAGGTGTACATGCTACATAAAGCCCTGTATGGATTGAAACAAACTCCAAGGGTTTGGAATAAGAAAATTGATAGTTTTCTAAGGGAGAAAGAATTTGTGAAGTGCACAACTGAACATGGAGTATATGTAAGAAGAAGCAAGAGTAAATTGCTTATACTATGTCTCTATGTATATGATTTGTTGATAACAGGTAGCTGTAAAAGTGAGATCGAAGACTTCAAAGGTGATCTCAGCAAGGAATTCGAAATGTATGATTTGGGTGAGATTTCATATTTCCTTGGTATTGAATTCTACAAGAGCAGTAGAGGTTTGATGATGCATCAAAGAAGATATGCAGGAGAAATTCTCAAGAGGTTTGAGATGGAAGAATGCAACTCAACTTCGACACCTGCAGAACCAAGACTGCAACTGTCGAAAGATGCAGATGAAGATGATGTTGACCCAACCTAATACAGAAGACTTATTGGATCATTGAGATACCTTTGTCATACAAGGCCTGACTTAGCATATAGTGTAGGTATGGTAAGTAGATTCATGCAGAAGCCAAAGGTATCACATCTAGCAGCAGTGAAGAGAATACTAAAGTATCTCAAAGGAACTTTCGATTATGGCATTTTGTTTCCTGCAGTTGATAAAGGAAAATAATGCAAGTTAGTGGGATACACTGATTCGAGTTGGTGTAGTGATGCTGAAGATCGAAAGTCAACAGCAGGATATGTGTTTATGCTAGGTGGTGCACCAGTTGCTTGGAATTCAAGAAAGGAGACAGTAGTGACATTATCATCATGCAAAGCAGAATACATAGCTGCTTCTCTTTGTGCATGTCAAGCAACTTGGATGGTGAACTTGGTCGAAGAGATAACAGGGAAAAATCATGGAGCAATTACCATGAAGATAGACAGCATGTCAGCTATTAATCTGACGAAGAACCCAATAGCACATGGTCGAAGTAAGCACATCGAAATGAGGTTCCATTATCTTCGAGAGTAGGTAGCAGATGGAAAGATGAATTTGGAACACTGCAGAATTGAGAATCAGATTGCAGACATCATGACGAAGGGAGTGCAAGTCGAAGTATTCAGAAAGCTAAGAGCCATGATGAACATAGATAGTTTAGACACAATGAATTAGGTGGTGTGTTAAATTGTAATCCAATGTGTCGAAAAGATTTGATTTGTTTTAGATTTAAATAGATTTGATTTAAGTCTAGAGTAAATTAGATTTGATTTAGTAACAAAAAGATATTTTGGGCTTTGGGCTTAGGGTGTAAGCTCAGTTATAAATAGAGAGAGTAACCCCTATTTTTGTAAGCAAGTCAATCAAGTCATTCACAGTATTTTGCAGTTGCAAAGTGAATAATAAAGTTTTCACAGTTTGTGAGCAGAGAGAAACTCTGCAGAAATTATTTGTCTTGTCTTCTTTTCTTTGTTTGTCTCATAATTAAATTGTCATTGTGGTAGAAATTTATCATAGACTTTAATAGATTTTCAACACTTAAGGACACCTATTACATATCCTTAGGATGTCCCACAAATCATATTTACTTATTAATGTAAGCAGAATATATAGCCCTGTTATACCTACAAGAGAAAACATAAACCAAAACTCTAATTTATATCACTAAGATTTTCATGAGAACAATGGTCCTCTTATTTGTAACTTCTACTAAAGATGGCATAACACAGCAAACAAGTTACACATGACAGATTATTAATAAGTTCATGCTGACATTTGGAAATACTTTACAGTAGAATACATTGAATGGATAAATTGAAACTCTTGTAACATTCATAAGTTCAATTGATTTTTAGCTTAAACCATAAATTAATCTCCCTAAAGAATAACAGCCATTTCATCAAACAGTTTCTCTGTTTTTTCAAAATCCTTACTCTCCTTAAACAGTTTCATCATCACATTGTAAAGAATAACATGCTTAACCGGTTCAATCTTTTCCCTAAAGTATTCAAAAACAAACATTGTGTTATCGGGTTTCGACATATTATTGAGAATAAAACCAACATTACTTACAATTACATTGCCAATAAGATGCGCATATAAGCTTATGTTCGAAGCATAATCAAACACCATCATCCTTGTGAATGGTTCGTCTTTGTCACAATAATCAATAAGATTGGTAAAGTTCTTATAGTTAAAACGGGATAGAGCAACAATTTGAAAGCATGTATGTAAGGAAATAAGTTGGCTAAACAGTTAAGTTTGAAACATGAAATTCCATCAATCAATTGAATTGAAACTCTCAGTGTTTCCATTTCCATTGACATAAGAAGGAAGAAAATCTTTCTTCTATAGGCTATCTCCATGTTCTTTGACCAATCCTTAGTAGAAGCAACATTAGTAGAATCAACAGCAATCTCGACTCCACTAGACAATGTTCCTTTATATACAATGTACTTCTCAAAACTGTTAATGATATTGTTGAAATCGTCACATGCTGTCTCCAACTCTGATCGATTCAACTTGGGGACCCCTGCATTTCATATAAGTGCAGATAATAGTTAATATGAATTTCTAACTCGAGCACACATCCACCTGAAATTGGAGTCCGGACACTGAAATGTGTTCCAATTCACTTAATTGCAGTATTACTTGTTACAAACGGCTTTTGCAACTGTCCACTTATTCCTGTCTTCCTGGGCTTTATAGATTTTTCACCATTCACATGGTGTAGAACTTGTTGAATTCAAATCACCGGCAAAAGCTTGTTCCACTTAAGTTCTCTTTCAACTTTTTCTACAGATGCATTAATATCATCGGGTCTACAGCCACCCCACACAAGTGGAATTTCATGAAAATAGAAATTCTGATAGAAATTATCGATCCATTATTTGTTTCAAGATGCTAAAAAGTATACTTTTCCAGAAGCCCGATCAAAAGATCTAACCATCTCCAAAACCAATGTTCCCATTCTAGAATGATCAAACTGTTCACAAGTAGATAAGCAATATTCAGACCACATCTTCTGACTTCTTATGTAGATAATCAAATAGAATAACTAATCAAATCGAACCATTAAAATGAAAATACCATAAAGTTTTTTCTATGGACAACAATAATCTATAATATAAAAAATCATGACAGCCGCGATGCTTCAGAACCATAAATTCGTGAAAACCTGGTGAGGTATGAGAGCCAATTCACTACAGTTCTTTAAAACTGACAGGAATACAAAAAATTAAAAACTACGAAAACTCCCAACACATTCTTCTTTGTTCTTCGTACAAAATATGATATTGGTTTTGACCAATTAGTGATGCAAATGGTTAATAATAAACAGGTTCAAATCATATGAAGTGGAAAATATAATGGGTAAGAAAAATGACTCACTGAGATATCGTTATAAATGGTTACAATCGAACATTTTAGACCACGTCTTCTTCCTGTATCGATAATCAAATTGACTATTAATCAAATTGAACCATTAAAACAAAAATGCCATTTAAGCCTAACAAAATGATTAGATTGTAAAACAAACAAAACATTGAAATGCATAAACCACTAAAACAAAGACGTTAAAAAGAAATTGTTTTTAAGCTTTAACAAAAAAAAAACTCAAAATAAAGTACATTTACATAACAACTTATTCACAGAGCAGCAACATTCACAAATCAAAATCATCAAGTTATTAACTTCATTTTCTAAACCGTCCAACATTACATAATCCTCTCAAATAGTTCGCCTCCAACTGCATAATCCTCCCACTTAACAACACCATCCTCAAAGAGTTTTTTAGTGCATAATCAATCTATAAAAATTTTACAGTAGGGTTTTTCAAAAACAACAATTAAAATCCCCCTTTGTCAACATCATAATAACCTTAATCGCAATAGATTTTTACCTGCAAATCACAGTGGGGTTTTACCCCTTGTTAGAAGTCGAAGAGCAACAAATTGAAAAAATTGTCGGAAAACCACACACCGTTGTAAAACCGACAGAAACGCCATATCCCGTCGGAAACGCCATATCCCGTCGGAAACGCCATATCCCTTATTCCGGTTGGTAACATGTTTCTCCTTCTTGATTTTAGTTTCATCCATGCTTTTTATTTTTGTTTGCAAGAGAGATGCCAATTCGTTTGCAATAGAGATGATAATGAGAAAATGAAAATGAATTGCAAGTTGGGGTTCATAGCAAGAAGAGATAAGAAGATAGCGGAAGAAGTTGGAAAAAGAAAGAAAGATGAAGAAAAAAGAGGGAAGTTTGAAAAAGAGGAACATTAAGAAGAAAAAGAACATGTGATGAGATGAAAGAGAAGAGAGAGATGAAGAAAGAAAAGAGAGACGTGTAGAGAAAGAATGTTGAGCGGAGAAGCAAGCCACATGGCTGCGTGTGGAAATAGAAGGACAAAATCGTATTTTCTAGAACATTTAATTTTCTTATATGATAGATGGACTTCTTGATGATATTATTGGAATAAAATGGTTGGAGTTTAACTATGCTCACATCAATTGTTATAATAAAATTTTGAGGTTCCTAAGTTTGGTAAAAATGAAGAACTGATATTGTTGTCTACTAAGCAAGTGAAGGAACTTTTAGAAGATGAAGTTTTGTTGTTTGCAATGTTTGTGTCGCTACAAGTTGATCGTGAAGCTGCCAGTGTAGAATTATCGATTTTTTGTGAATTTTCAGAAGTGCTTCCAAATGACATCAGTGATTTGCCTCCAGAATATGAAGTATAGTTCTCTCTAGAATTGGTGCCAGGTACAAGTCTGGTGTCAATGGCTCCTTACAGAATGTCAGCTTCAGAGCTGAGTGAGCTGAAGAAATAAGTGGAAGAAATGTTTGAGAAGAATTTTGTTCGACCAAGTGTTTCACTGTGGGTGCTTCTATGTTGTTAGTGAAGAAGAAGGATGGAAGCATTAGATTGTGTGTGGACTACAGACAGTCGAACAAAGTGAATATTAATAATAAGTATCCATTTTTGAGGATTAATGATTTGATGGATCAGTTGGTAGGTGCTAATGTTTTCACCAAGATTGATTTAAGGTCGAGTTATCATCATATTCGTGTTTAACCAGATGATATTTTGAAGATGGCTTTTCAAATAAGGTATGGCCATTATGAGTACACTGTGATGTCGGTTGATGTATCTAATACGCCAGGTATTTTCATGGGATATATAAATCGTACTTTCCATTCTTACCTGGGCAAGTTTGTTGTGGTCTTCATTAACGATATTTTGGTATATTCTAAGTCAGAAGAAGAACATGGTGAACATTTGTGAATTGTGTTGCAAGTGTTGAAAGAGAAGAAGTTGTATGCAAAGCTGTTGAAGTGTGAGTTTTAGTTGAAGGAAGTGAGTTTACTTGGCCATGTGATTTCTAGTGGTGGAATTGTTGTGGATCCTTCTAAAATTTATGCTGTGTTGCAATGGGAAACCCTGAAGTCTGCGACTTAGATTCAAATTTTTCTTGATTTAGCAGGTTGTTATCGAAGGTTCATTGAAGGATTTTCTAATTTGGTGTTACCGTTAACTCAGTTGACTCAAAACGGTCAAGTTTATGTTTAGGAGGTTGCATACGAAAAAAGTTTTATAGAATTAAAGAAGAAATTGACAACCGCTTCGGTATTGGTTTTGCCTAATCCGAGTGAGTCTTTTGTGGTGTATTGTGATGTATCGAAGATGGGACTTGGTGGTGTGCTAATGCAAAATAGACATGTTGTCGCTTATGCTTCTAGGCAACTGAAGGTTCATGAAAAGAATTATCATACGCATGATTTAGAGCTAGTAGATGTGGTGTTTATGTTGAAGACTTAGAGATATTATGTTTTTGGCTCCAAATTTGAAGTATTCAGCGGTCGTAAGAGTCTGAAGTACTTGTTTGATCAGAAGGAATTAAATATGAGATAGAGAAGGTGGCTTGAATTGTTAAAAGATTATGACTTTGGTTTGAATTACCATCCCGGTAAAGCAAATATGGTTGTTGATGCATTAAGTAGAAAGTCATTGTATATGTCGATGCTTATGGTTTGAGAGTTATAAATGATCAAAAAATTCAGAGATATGAGCTTGGTATGTGAGGAGACTCCTGATAGTGTGAAGTTAAGAATGTTGAAACTGGCTAGTGGAATTATAGAAGAAATCCAAGAAGGTCAAAAGTTCGATTTGAAATTGATTGATCAGTTGACCTTGATTAACCAAGGCAATGAAGGTGAATTCAGAATTGACGAGAGTGGAATGATGAGGTTTGGTGATGGAGTTTGAGTTCTGGATGTTCCAAAACTTCAGAAGAGTATTCTTGAGAAAGGAGATAGAAGTGGGTTAAGTATTCATCACGGTGCTACAAAGATGTATCAAGTCTTGAAGAAGTTGTTTTGGTGGCCTGGTATGAAGAAGGAAGTTGCCAAAAAATTTTATGCTTGTTTGACTTGTCAGAAATCGAAGGTTGAGCATCAGAAGCCTTTGGGTCTAATGCAACCGTTAAACAGTCCGCGATGGAAATGTGATAGTATTTATATGGATTTTGTGTCGGGTTTAACAAAGACAACTAAGGGAAATGACTCGATTTGGGTGATTGTGGATAGATTGACAAAGTCGGTTAATTTCTTACCGATGAAAATCAATCATCCTATGGATAAACTAGCTGAGATGTATATTGAGGAGATCGTGAGATTGCATGGGATACCTTCGAGTATTATATCAGATAGATATTCGAGGTTTACGTCGAAGTTCTAGGAAGGTTTACATAATGCTTTTGGTACTAAGTTGAGGTTGAGTTTCACATATCTTCCACAGACTCATAAGAAAGAGAGGACTATGAAGTCTTTGGAGGATTTGTTAAGGGCTTGTGTGTTGGAACAAGGAGGTTCTTGGGACAACCACTTGCCGTTGATTGAGTTTACATACAACAATAGTCTTCATGCGAGTATTGGTATAGAACCGTATGAAGAGATTTATGGTAGGAGGTGTACAACTCCATTGTTTTTGGATGAGTCAGGCGAGAGTGTTGTGCTCGGACATGAGATTGTGCAGGAGACGACTGAAAATATTAAGATGATTCAAGAGAGGATAAAGGCTTCTCAGAGTTGACAGAAGAGTTATCATGACAAGAGGAGAAAGGCACTTGAATTCCAAAAAAGATGATCATGTGTTTTTTAGAGTTACTCTAGTGAACGGTGTTGGTAGAGCTTTGAAGTCGAGAAAACCTACGCCGCATTTTGTTGGTCCATATCAAATATCAGAGAAGATAGGTGAAGTGGCTTATCGGATTACTTTACTGCCATTGCTTGCGAATCTTCATGATGTGTTTCATGTGTCTCAATTGAGGAGGTATATTCTGGATCCTTCGCATGTGATCCAAATGGATGATGTATAGGTGAGACATAACTTGACTGTTGAAGCATCACCCATGCGGATAGAAGGATGGAAAGTGGAGAAATTGCAGAGTTAAAGACATCGCCTTAGTGAAGGTATTGTGGGTGGACCAGCTGGTGAAAGTTGGATTGGGAATGCGAGGATCAAATGAGAGAGTCTTATTCAATTTTGTTTCCGCAAGGTAATTTTCGAGGGAGAAAATTCTAATAAGTGGGGGAGAGTTGTAACACCTCAAAATAATTAGATTATTTATTTGATAATTTAATTAATTATGATGAGCATCTATGATGTTTTGATGATTATGATGTGTGATGTGATGCTTTGTATAATATATGAGAAATTAAGAGATATTGGGTGTTTTAATAATTTTAGATAATTAGTTTTAATTATTTAGAATCATTATTAATAAAATAAATAGAATATAAGGTGTGAAAGTGTCAGGGGCAAAGTGGTAATTGATGAAAAGTGATAAGTGATGGTAATATAGTAAGATTATAGAAAGGGTCCAAGGGGTAAGTTTGACATAAGGGAATGGAGTTTAGAACGCTCATTTTGTACGATCGCATTTGGAGAAGAGGCAGAGAGCAGAACTAGGGCATAAGAGAAACTCAAAGGAATCATATAGAAACCCGAAGAGAAAACGATTTTTGCTAGGAATCTAAGGTAAGGGGAGTATCCTTATTTTATGATTGATATATGGTTTAAATGTGTGTATGTGATTATGTTTTTGTGATGGTTTGATTATGTGATGAACCCTTGATGAAATTGTGAAAAGTTAATGTTAATGATGTCATGAATCGATGTATGAAATGTGTATTATGATGTGTTGTTGTATGATGGAAATATGTGATTTGTATGAGTTTTGGGTCTGTTCGAAGGTGAAATCATGCGGAAATTGGAACTGGTGTAGTGCATAAAATGCATAGGGAATTTCCTATTCGCGTTGCATCATCGTGCGAGCCTGATGCTTCATCGGGTGAGGGAGCTTTGCTAAAGAAGCACCAAGCGAGGAAGAGGCGAATGGAAGGGGTGAAAATAGAGCCCCTAGAATTTTTATAGAGATGGGTGACTCGCCCCAGTTTTGCCGGGCGAAGGGGAGGCGAAAGGGATCTCGCGGCCAAAGGAAGACAAAGAAAAACAAGCTCCTGGAATTTTGTATGGGGGAAGGATTTTCCACCCAGCCTCACCGGGCGAGCCTCAAGCGAGCAAGTTGCTTCGCCGGGAGAGCCTTAAGCGAGAGGCGGATGGCAGAATCTTCAAAGTGTCATAATTTGAGTTTTCGGACTTCGTTTGATGCGTCGTTCGAAGCATTGGATAGCTAACGCAATGAACTATAATTAGGTGGAATAAAATAAATAAAATGGTGTATATTTATAATACCTATGATGTGATGAAATTATACTTCTATATGATGGATTACATTGACGTGTGTTGTTTGAAGAGTTGTTGATCCTATGATGATATTATGTTGTTGCTATGATATTATGGTAATGTTGTGATAATTCCATGTATATATATATATATATATATATATATATATATATATATATATATATATATATATATATATATATATATATATATATATATATATATATGATGTATGTGATGATATTATTATGATTACATGAATGAATGATGTTTTTGACTAGCATTGGTCATGTTTTATTATGTTATTGTGTATCATTGCATGCATGGCATATATTAGGACTTCGGTCCAGTGGTGTTGTTAGGACGATTGGTCTAGTGATGGTGATAGGACGTTGGTCCAGTGATGGATTTGTTAGAACACGATTTGGTTATGCTACTTTATCTCTGAGTTTTGATGATAACAAAGAGTATGTTTGTATGAATAATTTTGGTACTCTAATGTTTGTTATTGTGAGTATCTAACAAGCAGGTTCTACTTCTAATGAATGGCGTGGCCAAGACATTAGAAGAGACAAGTTTCACTTCTGCTCTACACAAGTTTTGATGAACAGTAACAAGATACTCCAGAAGACTCTGAAGTGTAGGCTCTGATATGAGGTCTAAAGGAACAAG